TCTAATAACAATTTATATTCATTAAATGTTGCACAAGTTTTAACATCTATATCACCAAAATGTTTTTTAAAATTATTTTCATTCCATGATGATAAATTAAAAATTCCTTTTTTTCTGAATCGTCTAAGATCTACTTTCTCTTCTTCATCCAATTCTGGATCACGTAAAGCATCTTCAATCTTGTTTCTCAGAATGTAATTACTATTAAAAAATATTTAATCATCACTCATTAATAATTAAAAAAAAAATAAATAATAAAATCTTACTAATTTGTATTTCCGTTTGATGTTTTAAATTCTATAATTCTTTTTTTATCTTTAAAATATGTTCTATAAGTCGCAACATCAATATCACTAAAATATTTATTGAAATTATAACTATTCCATAATATTGGGTTGAATACTCTTCTTTTTTCAAACATAATAAGATCTTGTTTCTCTTCTTTATCTAATTCTGGATCATTCAAAGCTTTTTTAATTTTTTCATCTAGAATACGTTCACTATCAAAAAAAAATATTAATTATTTTTTTTTTTAATATATTTTAAATAAATAAAAAAAAATTACTAATTTTTATCCCATGAAGAAAGTTTAAATTTTTCTTGTTTAACTTTTTCATTATCTTTAAATGATGATTTATAAGTCATGACATTTATATCTTTAAAATAATTATTAAAATTATTTTCATTCCAACTTGATGGATTTAAAATTTTTTCTTTTTCGAATATCTTAAGATCTGCTTTTTCCTCATAATCCAAATCTGGATCTCTTAAACCCATTTCAATTCTTTCTCTTAAGATAAGATCACTATTGACAAAAAAATTATTATTATTAATTTTTTTAAATTAATAAAAAAAATAAAACTTACTAATTTTTATATGATTTTTTTATTTTCATTTTTTTTTATTTTCATTAAATGTAAATATCTTCTATTTATAATAATTTCATTAATTATTTAAATATTTTTTTATTATAAATACACATTATTTTGTCGAATAAATATATTGAATATTTCATATTTTAAATCAAATGGAATATTATATATTACCTGAACCACAACCGATTATTATTATTAACCCGGCACCGTCTAACCCACTACCTAATCCTCCAAATACCCCTGAACAAACTCCTAAAACAGATGAAAACCCATCTGATTCAAATAAACCAGAAAATAATAAACCTGATGATAAAAATCAAAAACCTAATGATGATAAAACTCAAAAACCAAATGATACACAACCAATTGTCATTTTACCACCTACTCAATATTTTTTCATACCGACCAAGTAAGAAAAAATTATTTTTATCATTAATTAAAAGAAATATTAATTTATATTTTTCTATTCGAACAGCTGGACATATTTAAATCCTTACACATGGTGTAATATCTTATAATTTATTTATTTAATTTGTAATCATTTTATAAAATAAAAAATCATTAAAATAAATTCGTTTTCATCTTGGTTTAAATCATATATATTTATTCAATAAATAAAATCGTAAAAATAGCTATTTGTATAATGGATATCATATAAAATAATACATAAATATGATAATAAAAAAATATTTAATAAATATTGCATAATTTAGATAAAATAATATTAATAAAAAATATATTTAATTAATTGATTAATATTAGATATTTAATTATTTTTTATTATTATTACCAAATAATAAATTTCCCATATAATAATTAGGGCCTTTTTTCTCAATATCATTGAGATCACCTAAATCATATGCTAAAGTATCAAATTCATCAGTTTCCATAGTTCTATCCTCATTTGGACTATTGCTTCTAGAATTTTTTTTCTGTTTGTAAATAACTTGAAGATCAGCAAGTGATCTAGTTACTGTATGTTCTTGAGGTTTAAATTCTTTTTCCTTTTTCATTTTTCCAATAAGAGCATTATTAATCGGTTTAAATTTAAAATTTGTATCACTAAAATTAGCTTTCATCATATCGGCGATATCATCTTTATTGAGCTGATGTTCTCTCGAACCCATCTTTCTTTGTAACATGTGATGATATAACAAAAGACAATTATTATCTTCATTTCCTACACCAACACTTAAAATATCCATGATATAACTAGCTTTATCCTCACTAATAATCTTATCAGAAAGAAGAATTGCAGCATAAAAAAAATATTCAAGATCATGCATATCATCATTTTCAATTTTTTCTTTATAAAAAGTTTTAATATCATCTCCAAAATATTCAGAAAGTTTATTAATTGCGTCAATATATCCACCTTGAAAAAATGCAATTTCAAACATTTTTTTTGCTTCCATTCCTTTTTCCTCGTCATCGATTAAAACTTTTCCATATGTATATGCGGCAAATCCAAGTACTTCAGTACCAAAAGAATCTTCATAAAATTTTTTACTATATTCCAATTCTTTCAATCTATCTCCAGTACTTCTAGCATCAGCAATTAACCAAATAAAAGAATCCTTAGCCAAGATATCTTGATTATGGATATTACTCAGATGATTGTTTCTTTCTTTGTTTCTTTCAGAATGTAATTCTATCAAATTAACAAGATCATTTCTTAAATTTTTTCTATTACTTTCAGAAATTTTAATAGCTTTACTGTTTTTGCTAGAAAGATTAGTGATTATTCTATTCTTGGTTCTGTTTTCTTTCTTGAATGAAAGATTATCTGTATCAATAACAGAAAAAATAGGGATTTGTTTGGTAGTAGTCATGTTGAGAAATGATTTAAGTAATTTATCTGGTGTTTTTGATTTTTTTTCAATGAAGAAAATGTGTGGTTTTATAGATGTTTGCTTAATAATAAACGGATACTAAATTCCGAAAAGAATTCTAAATTGCTTTATTTAAAATAATAATATTTCGAAATAATTCATATTATCAAATAAAATTAATTCATTAATTTATCATTATTGATCATTATAAATAAATCAAAAATTCTAATATCATCATTAATTTAAAATGTCTTTAAAATTTTTTTTCAATAAAAATAACGAAAAAGAATTTAAAATGGTTCTAGAAGAAGATAAAATTAAAAAAGAATTATCTAAAATCGAAGATAAACAAAAAGAACAAAAAAATAATATTCTAGAAGATGAACAAAAAGAAATCGAAAATGATAATAAAGAATATTTATCCATTTCTCATTTCTTTGGTAGTGATTATATCATCTTTAATTTTATCAAAGATAAATCTGTAAAGATGGAAATTCGCAGAAACTGTGAAAGTGTTAATATTCTTGATAAAAATAAAAGTTACAAATACGAAGAAATCATTGGAATCGATGAACTTAATCGATTTTCTATTTCTTTTACTTTTATGGGTAATGACATCAATCCGTTCAGTTTCTGTAAAAATCATAAATATATTCTTTTCAATAATAATATTAAAACTATAAAAATTTTATAATGATTCTATCAAAGCTAATGGATTAGCATATGCTGCTTATACATATGGAAAAGTTTTAATTGAATATAAAGAAAAATGGGAAGAAGCGAGAAAAATGTTTAAAATTGCAATTTTTAAAGGTGGATATATTGATGCAGTTTATAAACTTAAAGAATATTTTGAAGAAGATATTCTTTTATTCTATAAAGAAAAATTTGAAAAAGGAGAAATCAAAGGTTTTGAATGTTTCCACTATGCTGGAATTCTTCTTGCTGATAAAAATATTAATGAAGAAAGAGCAGATTATATTATGGATATTTTACTTTTTGGTGTTGAGAATTTTAAAGATAGAAATTCTCTTTCCTTATATCATGAAATGTTAGAAGGAGATATGGGTTCGGGTAAACATTGGGAAAACAAAGAAGAGATTGAAATTATGTTCAAAGCAAATTTCAATAAAGAAGGGGAAAATGTCGGATCTATTAATAATATTCTTCTTGAAAAATTTAAAAAGGAAGTAAAATATAATCCTGTCGAGAATATGAATTCTAGATCTCTTGCAGAAATTTTAAAATATAATAAAAAAGATGATGATATGGAGGAAGATAGTTTTGATACATTGGTTGGTTATGATTTAAATGAATTGAAAGAAAAAGGTTCTGATGCCTTTATGGGAAATTTAATATTTGGAAATAGAAAAAATAATTAAATACCCAACGTTAATCAATTAATTAAATATATTTTTATTAATATTATTTTATCTAAATTATGCAATATTTATTAAATATTTTTTTTTATTTATGTATTATTTTATATGATATCCATTATACAAATAGCTATTTTTACGATTTTATTTATTAAATAAATATATGATTTATCCAAGATGAAAACGAATTTATTTTAATGATTTTTTATTTTATCAAATGATTACAAATTATAAGATATTACACCATGTGTAAGGATTTAAATATGTCCAGCTATTCGAATAGAAAAATATAAATTAATATTTCTTTTAAATAATGATAAAAATAATTTTTTTTCTTACTTGGTCGGTATGAAAAAATATTGAGTAGGTGGTACAATGACAATTGGTTGTGTACCATTTTGAGTTTTATCATCATTAGATTTTTGAGTTTTATCATCTTCAGGTTTATTATTTTCTGGTTTATTTGAATCCGATGGGTTTTCATCTGTTTTAGGAGTTTGTTCAGGAGTATTCGGAGGATTAGGTGGTGGAGGTGCTGGGTTAATGATAATAATTGGTTGTTGTTCAGGTAATATATAATATTCCATTTGAATTAAAATATGAAGATATTCAATATATTTATTTGACAAAATAATGTGTATTTATAATAAAAAAAAAATATTTAAATAACTAATAAAATTATTATAAATAGAAGATATTTACATTTAATGAAAATAAAAAAAAATGAAAATAAAGGAATCACATAAAAATTAGTAAGTTTATTTTTTTTTAAGTATTAAAAAAAAATAATAATAATAATTTTTTCGTTAATAGTGATCTTATCTTAAGAGAAAGAATTGAAATGGGTTTAAGAGATCTAGATTTAGATGATGAGGAGAAAGCAGATCTTAAGATATTTGAAAAAGAGAAAATTTTAAATCCATCAAGATGGAATGAAAATAATTTTAATAATTATTTTGAAGATATAAGTGTCATGACTTATAGAACATATTTTAAAGATAAAGGAAGAATTAAAACACCACAAGAAAAACCTAGACTTTCTTCATCGGATGAAAATTAGTAATTTTTTTTAATAAATAAAAAAAAAATTAAAAAAAAATAATAATTAATATCTTTTTTTTTTGATAGTGAACGTATTCTAGATGAAAAAATTAAAAAAGCTTTGAATGATCCAGAATTAGATAGAGAAGAAAAACAAGATCTTATCGCATTTGAAACAAGAAGAGTATTTAATCCGATATTATGGAATAGTGATAATTTTTATAAATATTTTAGTGATATTGATGTTGCAACTTATAGAACATATTTTAAAGATAAAAAAAGAATTATAGAATTTAAAACAACAAACGAAAATACAAATTAGTAAGATTTTTATTATTATTTATTTTTTTTAATTATTAAGAGATAATTAAATATCTTTTTTTTAATAGTAATTACATTCTGAAAGGCAAGATTGAAGATGCTTTACATGATCCAGAATTAGATGAAGAAGAGAAAGTAGATCTTAGAAGATTCAGAAAAAAAGGAATTTTTAATTTATCATCATGAAATGAAAACAACTTTAAAAAACATTTTGGTGATATAGACGTTAAAACTTGTGCAACATTTAATGAATATAAATTCTTATTGGATATGAAAATGAAACAAGATCGAGAAATGGAAAATGATATTCATTATAAATATAAAAAATTATCAAAAGATTATGAGATTTTATTAGAAAAATATAACGAATTTCAAAAACTTGTAAAAAACCAATATTACGAAATTGAAAATTTTTTCAAAGACTAATAACTAATAAAAAATTTTTTTATTTATAAAATCATCTAATTCAAAAATTTTTTAATTATCTTCAATTTGTTTTGATTCTTTATCATATATTTTTTTCTATTTCTTCAATTTTTTTTTCTAATTTTTTATTAGAAACATATAAATTTTCAATATCCATCTCTCTTTCTTTGATCAAATTTTCTAATTTCTAATTCATTTCTTCGATTTTCTTTTTTAAAATTTCATTTTCTTTTTCTACTTTTCGCCTTCTACTTCTTTCATTGAGATAATCAATTCTATTATTTTTTTTCTCTTCTTCTAATTGTTCAATTTTTTCGTTCAAATCTTTTATTTCGAAATTTTTATTCATTTTTAATTTTAATATTTCAAAGATTCAGTTTATTTAAATAATTTATTAATTTTAATTATTTATTAATATCGTATGAATTATTATGATATGATAAAGATTAAATTTGTATTCAAATTATAAAATAGTAAATAACAAATTAATTCTATATTTATTATATAAATATGAATTGAATTTATTTTTTTTTTAGATGTTCCAAAAAATGTCTTTTATTTATTTACCAAACGAAATTCTTATTGATATTTTTATACATATTAAATATATGAAAGGTATTCCTTTCACATGTAAAAAATTTTATAAACTTATTATAAATACCCAATTTAAATTTGATTGGATTACTTTTCATTATAAATCATTATCTGATTTTGAAGTATTTCAATTAGGTTTTACATTCTTTAATTCTGAACTTATTAAAAAATTACAGGAAAAAAAAGAATTATTCGTTGAAGATGGGAGAGAAAATATTATTCATAATATATCAGTTCTTGCGTTTTTTTTACATAAAACACATGAATTGAATAATGAAATGAAAGCTTTACGAATTTATAAAGATTTAAATGATTATTATATGATAGGATATTATTATCGACATGGATATGGTGGTCTCAAAATTGATAACAAAAAGGCTGATGAATATTATGCTTTATCCAGGTTAAAAACATTTATGTGAAATTGAGAAATAGGAAATTTTGATCTATGATATCATAAAAATTATTTAATGATAAGTATGTTATACTATATGAACATTAAAATTTTTTTTTTAAAAAAAAATATGATAAGCAATTATTAAATTCGATTATAAATCATATTTATCCCATTATTTATAAATACGATAAATTTTTAACTTTTCTTATCATGAACAAAAAATGGTTCCTTCTGAAATATTGATTATAATATTTATGTATCTTTATGATGCAAATAAGCTTTTTAATTGTATCGTGGTTTCTAGATATTGGACTAGAATTGCAATCCTATTACTTTGGCAAGATCCTTTAAAATATTATGATATAAATAAAATTTATTTATTAAAATATTATTCTTTTGTAGAAATCATCGAATTTAATCTTTATGAAAATAAATTTCTTGATTCAAATCAAAAACTTTTATTTTCGAAATATTCTCATACACTCTTTCCTTATCTTTCATATATCAAAAAAATAAATTGTTTAAAGATATCACAAATTTTTAAGCATTTCGAACATAAAGAAAAGATATTTAAATTATTATTTAAATTATCAAATATAATTGATTATGTTTATATTCATTATAATTTTTTTCATAACTATTTAAATGATATCATCATTTCCATTTTAAATAGATACATGATAGATCATAAAATTTATTTAGATCTTGAGAAACCAAATTCAAAAACGTTAAATTCCTTAACACAATTTAATTTTAAGGGTTTGAGATTTTCAAATTCAGTATTTGAAAAAACATTTTTTGATAATATTTTAAATATCACAAATATAGAATTAAAATATGTTTCTCAAGTAACAAAATCTGATATTATCAGATTACATAATTTAAAATCTCTTTCATTAATTGATATTGATATTAACAATGATGATATTTTATTTGTGATGAGAGAATTAAAATATTTATCATATTTGAAAATATCTTATAATATAGAATATTATAAAAAATATGATGAAAATAAATTGATAGAAGAATCGATGAAACATGAAAATATAAAGATGTTAGAATTAGGAAAAGAAGGAGAAACACAAATAGATGATGTGAAATCACCGTTATTTATTCATTTATATAATATGCTTATGATATTATCAACTAAATGAAATATTAAATAAATTATTAAAATTTATTTAAATAAGTTTATGATATTATTGAAATTATTTATTAATAAATAAATTATCAAATAAGATATTAGAATTTTATTTATAAATACGCTAAATTTTTAATACTTTTTATCCAATATGAAAAAATAAGATATCATGTTTCTTTTTAATAAATTTTTAAACGAAAAAAAAAATAAACCTATGCAAAATAATCAAAATTCTAAAAACATTTTAATAATGGGTTATAGTGGTTCAGGTATATCCACTTTAGCCAATGTTATCACGGATACTATTCTTTTCAAAGAAAGTAAAAATACTCTTAGCGAAACTCAAGAAATACAAATCGAAAAATTTGAATTAGAAGGAGTAGAGTATAGAATAATTGATACTGTTGGTATTAGTAATTCTAACTTATCTGATAAACAAGTGATAAAAAAAATGAAAGAAGCCTTTAATTTAATTAAAGGAGAGACAAACCTAGTTTTTTTTACTTTTAGTGGAAGGTTTACCGAGAGAGAATTGAAAGCTTTGGAATTATTAAAAATTGTTTTCGGAAATGAATTTAATCAAAATATTATTTTAGTAAGAACTAAATTTTGTGATTTTAGAAATTCTGAAAAATGTAAACTTGATATAGATTCATTACTTCAACATAACAAAGAAACATTTGATTTGATCACTAATCATACTATTATTCATGTCGATAATCCTTCAATTGATGATAATGATGACGATGATGATAGTGATGATGAAGATATGAAAGAGAAAGAGATCAATAAAAGAATAAGAAAAAATTCTCAAATTAAATTATTGAACCATTTAAAAGATTTAAAATAGTTTTTGATTTTTTTTATAAATCTTGTATTCGTATTTTTATATTTATTTAGCTTATTTCAAATATATAAATATGATATTATGAATATTTTTATGTATTATTAAATAAAATTTTATAAATAAAGAGTTTTTTTTATCAAATAATAAATATCAAAATGATGAATATATTTACTATTTATCCGATACTTGAAAATTTTGGATTTTATCTTGAAAACAAAGAGAAAAGAACCCTTTTAAATCTGGGATTAGTTGATAAAAATTTTGCAAATTACTTCATTCCGATGTTATGGAAAAAACATCCATATAATTATATTTCAAGTAAATTTAAATTTTAGAAAGGTGAAGCATTAGTGAATATTTTATATAATGGTTTATCTAAAGATTATCAAAGACTTTTGTTGGATAAAGAAATTTATATTGAAACTTTTAATCCATTTTTCGGTAGTGAATTAGAAAAAATTACTTTTACAAAAAAGAATTACATGTTTAATTACGCATCATACATTAATCCGATTCCTTGTTCATCATTGTCAGAATATATTAATTATGGGAAAGATAAAGATTATGTTATCGGTTTATTAATTAGTTATTATTTTAAAAATATATTTTAATTTTAGTTATTTTATAAATATTTATCTAAAGTATTATTAATATAAAATTTTATAAATAAGTATTTTTTTTTATATATTTGAATAATATTAAAAATGTCTAAACGTAAATTGGATATTAATGATGGAGAACATAAAAAAGTTAAATTTAATCAATTAATTCCTGGAGAAATTATTCAGTTAGTTCTTGAAAATTATGATTTTGATAATTTTAAAGAATTTCGAAAGATTGCTTTAATATCAAAATTATTTTATCAATTATATAAAAAAATTATTATTAAAATATTTCTTTTTTAACGAAAATAACATGAGATATAACCCTGAACCAATTTATAAATATCATATTATAAAAAATAATTTTGAATACAAGATAACCAAAAAAAGATATAGTAATATAAAATCTATTTATTATGATTGGAGCACACTCAATACATCAATCACATCATACGGTAGTAGTTATTATAGAGCATATCGTATTGAAAAAATAGAATATATTATTCCTAAAAAAAAATATATTATGATAGATATTTTAAATTTTCTTATATGATCAAAGATATAAATGAGAGGGAAAAGATTGAAGTTTTTCATGTTATGAGTAATAAAAAATATTTAATTGATAGTGAAAGAGGGTGTTGTGGTTTAAATTTTTGGAATTTGGGAAAAATAGATGATGATTGGCATCATTGTCATGATTTAAGTTATCATTTTACAGAATTCATTTTAAAGAAATTATTAATATTTAAATATCTTAAAGAAAAAAATAGCAAAATAAAAGAGATATATGAAGATTTATTTAAATGGAAAGAATGATTTAAATATATTTTATTTATTATATAAATTCATAATTTATTATATAATTTTACTAAATATAAATAAATATCAAATATATTTTAATTATTATATAACGTAATATTTGTAAAGTTGATAGAAATCATATTATAATCGATAAATAATATACGCAGTAAAAAATATGATGTTTTACAACAATTTTAATTTTTTTTATACGAGATTTTTTCTTAAAAAATTTGTAAAATATCACATTTTTATAAATAGAAAATGTAACAATAATCTATTACTAAATTTATCAAATAATGATTAAACTTCTTAATTAATTAATTAAATTTCTATCATGTGAAATTAAATTTATTCTATTCGAAAGAAATTTATTATTTTTGAATTATTTAGATAAATATATAAAATTAAAATAAAATATTAAGATGTTAAGATTTTCCACAATCTTTGATATTCGTTAAATTCTGTT